TTACAAACTAAAGTGGTTTCTTCATCCTCTGAACTTCTGTGGTAATTAGACTGTACAATTAATGGGACAATGAATCATGGCGTGCCTTGTGACATCGCTTCTATTGTATCAGACTATAATTTGGTAGCTGGTGAACACACTGTCACTCAGCAATGCAGGCCATAGGCTGAGAGAGGTGTTGTGCTCCCCCCGCCCCATTTAATTGGCTCCTCTGTGGATCCTCACGTGTCCGCAACACGAGAAGTGGAAGGCAGAGGCCAAGAATCCCATTCTTTCCCAGTGCTGGACCCTCTACATGAAAGACATTTGCACGAGTGCTCTTTACAGGAAATTCAAAATTTTGGAAAGTTAAAGGTATATCTTTTGGAGACTCTAATGTTTTCTAAATAAGCTGTATTTGCGTGCCAAATATGACAAAATTAAATAATACACGTGAAAATGCTTTGTAAAGTGCTGTATACATACATACACATATAACATGGTACATATGTACACATATACATGAAACACACATATATAAATGTAATTTGGGTTTATTTAACTTTCCAGAGGTCTAAGCATTTGCTGCCCATGACACCTGAACAAAGAACCTTTAACAATAGGTATGTGTTCAGAGGACCACTACACATTTGTAGTTCTACACTTGGTGACTTTGCCTTTCAGAAATAAAATTCTTTGTTCTGAAAACCACCAATGTTTATTCCGGATTGCTAATTACAGAAACATCTTTTAAATAATTCTATACAAGACAGGTTTGCTACTGTCATTAAGAAGAATTTTTTAATTCTAAAACCCCAGAAGGAGGAGCACCTGGGTGGCTCGGTCGGTTGAGCGGCCAACTCCTGATGTTGGCTCAGGTCGTGATCTCGCACTGAGCATGGAGCCTGCTTGGGATTCTCTCCCTCTCTTCTGCCCCTCCCCCACTTGGGTTTCTCTCTGTCTCTCCCTCTCTCAAAATAAAATGAACTTAAAAAAAAAAAACAAAGATACTCTCTTTCCCTCTGCCTCTCACCCCCACTCGCATGCGCTCTGAAGATTTTTTTAATTAATTAAAGAAAATAATCCTATTTAGAATTGATTTCATTATTTCTCCGATCTTAACCTGTCACAATCACCCAATCTACCTCTCCAAAATTCGTCATGCTGTAGTAAGCTTCAACTAGAAGCGTCTCTCCCACTGGCCCACTAACAGCAGAGACGACCTAGCAGAGGAGAAGCAGAATTTCTACTAATTGCTGTATAAGAAAGGGAGTTCAAGCAATGATTGAGAAACTGAGGACAATAGTCCCCCTTATCCACAGGGGACACAAGACCCCCCAGTGCACGCCTGAAACTGTGGATAGCACTGAACCCTATATGCTATGTTCTTCCCTATACACACATACCTATGATAGAGTTTAATTGATGAATCAGGCACAGTAAGAGAGCAACAATCACTAACGATAAAATAGGACAATTATAACAATATACTGTACTAAAAGTTATGTGATTTGGTCTCTCTCAAAATATCCTCTGGTACTGCACTCACCCTTCCTCTTCTCATGATGATATGAGATGATAAAATGCCTACGTGACGAGACGAAGTGAGGTGAATGGCGTGAAGTGAAGCGAGGCATCGTGACGTAGTGCCGGGCTGCTACCGACCTTCTGACCATACCTGACATATGAGGAAGACCATCTGCTTCTGGACCACAGGTGACCGTGGGTAAGTGCAACCAGAGAAGGCAAAACCGTGGATGGGGAGGCAAGCGACTATGTAATGATGGCATGACGAGCAAAGACAACGTTAGATACTGTAGCAGGGCACAAAACTAGTGGAGCTCAGCATTCTGGGCGAAACAAATAATAAAAATGCAGACTCTGGTTAAATAAACTTAAAACTCTCACCGTATGTGCTAACACAGAGAGCACACGGCTGGCTGCCAGCATTCCTAGGAGTCTGTAATTATACACCAGCAGGTAGAGACTCTGATGGTGACTACGCGGATTTGTTGGAACTATTAACAAAGAAAAGCATTTAAAAATCTTCCTACCCAAGTATTTGTCCGTGGAGTTTCTAATTTCAGTTATCACTGACCCCTGCTTTTACACTCGGTTTCTCAAACAAAAACAAAGAGCCATGCTAATCTCCCGTAACTAAATCAAAATAGTTCTAAAGTCAAAATCAAGAACCAAGGAAGCATAAAAATTCTTCAACCTCTGTTCAGTGAAGGTAGAATACAACTGGAGAAGAAAAAGAGGGCCTTCCTTTAGCTCACTACCCAAATCAATGATCCAAAAAACACTACCATCCCATCTGTGGCAGGCTAAATAAAACCCCTCAAAAGCCAGCCACATCCTACTCTGCTGAATCTGTGAGTGTGCTACCTACGGCAAAAAGGGGCCTCCGCTGATGTGAACAGGTGATGGGGAGATCATCCTGGGTTACCCAGGAGGGCTCACTGTAACCACAAGGGTCCTGTTCAGAGGAAGCAGAGGATCGGGGCAGGAGTGGGAGATGTGACAATGGGAGCACGAGTGCTGTGGGGAAACTTCCAGAACCAAAGGGCACAGGGACCTCTAGAAGCTAAAAAAAGCAAGGAGATGGACTCTCCAGAGACGCCAGATGAAATCGGTCCTACCAACGCCATAATTTTAGTCCCGTAAGACTCATTTCAGGTGCTGATTTCAGCAGCACACAGACTAAAAGCGGAACGATACGGAGAAGACTAGCACAGCCTCTGCACAAGGATGACAGACGCCAATTCGTGAAGCGTGCCATGTGTTCTCATGAGCACCGAGTAATGTACAGAATTGTTGAATCACTGCAGGGCACACCTGAAACTAAATATACACTGTATATGAACTAGCCTGGAATTAAGGGGCGCCTGTGTGGCTCAGTCGGTTAAGTGTCTCACTCTGGCTCAGGTCATGATTTCACATTTCGTGAGTTTGAGCCCCACGTCGGGCTCACTGCTGTCAGCACAGAGCCCACTTTGGGTCCTCTGTCTCCCCCCGCCCCTCTGCCCCTCTGCTTGCGTGCTCTCTTTCTCTCAAATAAATAAATAAATAAATACATACATATATACATACATACATACATACATTAAAAAAAAACTATACTGAAATTAAAATAAAAAAATGGAGTAACATTTTTAAAAAAGAAAAAAAGACTCATTTCCAATTTCTGACCTCTAGAACTGTAAGATAATAAATTTATATTGTTTCAAGCCACTGTGTTTGTGGTCATTTATTACAGCAACAATAGGAAACTAACACAACATTTTATTATACTTCTAAGGATTGTGACGCTTAGTAGATGTTGTTACCATTAATTTAATTGAAGCTCCAGTGAAAAATTACAAAAGAGGGTTTGAAGTTGCCAGGGCTTTCCATACTACCCACTTCTGTGGGAACTGCTAGAGTCTAGAGAGCTTTGGAGAACAGAAAACAGACATAAGGACAAAGGAAAAATGCAATTTTACAGAAGATAAAGAAAGCATCTCTTTCTTGTCTACTACGTACCAGGCAAATGCAGGACTCCAAGAGCTTACAACCATGTGAAAGTACTAACCAACTGTGCATCTATCAGCATAACATAGCTAAATAAAAAGTTAGGTGACATTCCAAGGATGTGGAAGTAGAGCCTGGAAAGAGGACAGACTCATCTACACAAAACAGTCTGTAGAGTCACCAACCTGAAAGGGTACAAGGCAGGTACTTTAACCTGTAATAGAACACTGTCTCAACTCTCCACTCCCACCCTTTTAAGGAGGGAAGTCTCTAGAACTGCTTTTTACTTTGGCTTCCAGGGCAATTACATTCTAGCTGTACCATTTTGTATATGAGACACCCCCCCCCCTCTCCGCCACCTCCCTTTTGACCCGTGAGATGAGGGACACCCAACGCAATACTGAAAACTGTCAGGAAAAAAAAAACTGGTTTCTACTCATGTTTGTAGTTTCTGTCTAGACTGCAGCCACTTTCTTTTATCAATAGGTGGTGAGCTTGTATTGGCTAGGCAAATGCTGATCGTTCATTAAAACAGAAGTAGGAGCAGATCGAGGCAGTGAAAAGTACTTTTTAGGCACCTTCAGATGAACAGATGAGTGAAATGTGAGCACACAAAGAGACTGACTGCCTTTAAACCAACAGAAGATCTGTTTTTCCTAAGTTATCATAAAACTGCAGTCTGCACAATAAGCATGCTCTATACCAGCAGGGCCATAAATCCACCTCTTCAAGTAAAGCTGATGGAGTATACAAGTTTAACACTTGTTCTCACTGCTTTATTCTACACTTTATTCCTTATTATTCAAAAACGACTGTCAACCAAAATAAGAGAATTTTAAGTGTACTTTTTTTTAATGTTTATTTATTTTTGAAGGAGAGAGAGTGTGTGGGGGGGGGGGGGGGGGAGAGGAGCAGAGAGAGGAGACTAGAATAAAGTCAGCTCAGGCTAGCTGTCAGCACGAGCTGAGGAGCGATGGCGCTCAAACCCATGAACAGTGGTCAGCAATACAAGCCAAAGTTGGACATTTAACTGACTGAGTCACCCGGGTGCCCCAATGTGTATTTATTTTTAAGAGAGAGAGACAGAGTGCAAGCGGGGGAGGGGCAAAGAGAGAGATTGGGAGACACAGAATCCAAAGCAGGCTCCAGGCTCCGAGCTGTCAGCACAGAGCCCGATGCGGGGCTCGGACTCACGAGCCAAGAGACCATGACCTGAGCTGAAGTCGGATGCTTAACCGACTGAGCCACCCAGACGCCCCCAAAATAAGAGAACTTTAAACATCACTCTTTTCCTTCTTGCTCCCCGGCCTAGTTCCATCTAATACTGCATGAAAAATAACATAAATGTATTTTTAGAGCTTATCAATTTTCAAGCCCTCCCCAACACACAAATCTTGTATTTTCACATTACTTCTTTCTGAATAGATGGAAATAGACAATCCCTGGCTTAAGAACCTTGAAGGAAAAGTTCTTTTGTTCCTATTTCACATCCTCAACACACTTCTCACCTGCTATTTTAATATTCAGATTGGCATCCAGAAGCAAATTTTCAGCTTTTAGATCACGATGAACAATATTCCGACAGTGACAAAAATAGACAGCTGCCACAATCTGTTTGAACTTCCGACGGGCCTCCTTCTCTGCCATTCTGCCATGGGCCACCAGGTGGTCTGTGGTGAAAAAGAGCACAGTCAGTTCTCATTTTGCACCCTGGTATCATTTCAAAAGGTAGACTCCAGGAGGGATGCAAGGGGGCCTACCAGATGAACAGTTGAAGAAGTGAAACAAACAAATGGCAACATTTGTGGCTCTAGTTTGTATCTATAAAAACCCATCGGCAAGCAGTATCCAAACCGTTTTAAGTATACATAACTATGCATAAGAATACATATGCTCTACTGTAAGAAGGAAAAAAAAAGTTCTGAGGCTTTTAATGGTATTTTTGGAAAATCGTAACATTCAACACCTCCTTTTTCTTATCTCCATTGCAAAAGATTACATACACACAGCAAACATATACATGAAGATAAGAATCAGCAATATTTCCTGTGCTAACGCGTGACTCAAAAAGCAGAATCACGATAATCAATCATTTGGGGGAAGAGTAGACAGAAGTTAGTCACTGCTAAGGGGGAAAACAGCTTTATATAGGAGCCCATCGATGCTAATATCTCTTCCACTTTCTCAAAGTTTTATAGTTTAACATAAAAATGTACTTATTTGGTGACTATACTCTGGAATGCATCATACTGGAATATGTCGGTATCTTTCCGTCTGCATTTATTGTGCTTTTCAAGTATTTTTTAAAACGCTGTTAGTTTTTACAGACAACATCAACTGAAAATAAAGGAGGCTTTTACCACCTCAGTGAAATTATTTCATTGGCTATGTGGCTAACTAAGGTATAGCAAAAGATTTTACATGTGATAAACTTTGTAATACTATAAATCAAACTATCTTCTATATTTAAAAATGAACTGGTTGACCCATAGCCAATACCATGAATTGCTAATTACCAGTACCAATACCAATTAGTACCAGTACTAATTACCAGTACCAGAAAAGTAAGTACTTTTTTTCTAATAGTGGCAGGTTTATTCTGAACCAGTGAATCCTCAACCCATTTCTTCATCTAACAACATACCCAGATCATAACAGCTGATGAGATTAGAAACACTGGCAAGACAGCTTGCTCTACCTAAAATCTCCAATAGTCTCATTGGCACTATCCTTAAACTAACCAATCTAGGTGGGAGAAGGACACATTTGCCATCGTAAGCATCCTGAGATACTGGGAAAGTAAAAAATCAGACGATATAAACAAGTGTATTATTGTCTGCTCATCAATGGTAGTAGTTTCAGTCTTCGTACCCAACTGTCTTTGGCACCATCTTGATCACCCACAGGACCAGTCGGATAGATCTTTTCTTCATCACAAAGAGGAAGTCTGAGATAAAACATACGCCCTCGTAGTGCTTACCAAGATAAGATGGAGGGCTTAGGACAAGGAATGGGGTAGAGCGTGAAGAAGGGGAGCCAAATGACAATCCATCCACAGAGCAGACTTTCAAATAATTCAAAGAGCATTCTGACCACAAAGAGCACAAAATATTGGAGATCAAATACTACAGTAATTTTAAGAACAGCGTCTTAGGGGCGCCTGGGTGGCGCAGTCGGTTGAGCAGCCAACTTCAGTTCAGGTCACGATCTCGCGGTCCGTGAGTTCGAGCCCCGCGTCGGGCTCTGTGCTGACAGATCGGAGCCTGGAGCCTGTTTCGGATTCTGTGTCTCCCTCTCTCTGACCCTCCCCCGTTCATGCTCTGTCTCTCTCTGTCTCAAAAATAAATAAACGTTATGGGGCGCCTGGGTGGCACAGTCGGTTAAGCGTCCGACTTCAGCCAGGTCACGATCTCGCGGTCCGTGAGTTCGAGCCCCGCGTCAGGCTCTGGGCTGA